ATAAATACTATTTAAAATAAAACGGAGCGTCTACTCAAATAAGGGGAAATCTCTAAAAAAAAAAACAACAAAAAAACAACAACAAAAAAACAAACAAACAAACGAAAAGAATACGGAAAATAGCATTGCTTCGTGAATATGGTGACCTAGTGATTGCGAGTTCAAACGCTGGACCGGGCAATGTGTACTTGGACTTTTGTGGAAACTGGCGCGCAATAACTGGAAACAGATAAAAATAAGAACTAGTCGAAATATTCGAAATATTCAAGTCGAAACGCTTGAAAGAAAACAATCTATCGCCGTAGATTAAATAAAGAACTCAGTTTAGAATTCCCTGTAGGTTACCAAGATCGATATACACCTGAGGAAGGTCGAAGAGCACAAGGGCCGAAACGTGGTGATAACAACAGCGAAGATGAGGACAATAAGTGTAAATAATTTTTTTTAATGATAGGTATTCTATGTCTATTCCATTTTTCATCTTATAAGCGGTAAGCAAACATGGCTGCTGCAGGTGGAAAACAATATAAGCAATTAAGTCCGTGTGATGTTGATTTAGACAGAAAAATTTCACAATCGCATTATTAGAGAAACAGAAATGTGGTTCTACAGAAAGATGCTGGGAATACTATGGACCAAATATGTGAGCAACGGCAAAGTTTTAAAGGAAATAGAAACAAAAAGGACACTTAACGTCAAGAAGATATAGCTTAAAATTTCTAGGACGCAAAGGTCTTTGATAGTCACAGGACAGATTGAAGGCAAGAGGGACAGAGGAAAAAACAACGCATAACCTTTAAGTCAGTTTGAGTAAATGGATGACGGGTCAAGGTCTAGGAAAGATAACAAAAAGAAAAAAAATATTAAGAGCTACAAATCACTTGATCCGCCAACGCCCTAAAGTGTCACGACACAGAGAAAAAGATTAGAGAAAACAATTTTTTTTTTTTTTTAAACAAGAGTTCTTTGACATCTTATAGAGCTACTATCGGTGAGAGCTGCACCTCAAATTCATCAAAATCAAAGAAAATTCTATTCTTTTGAAGACAACCTCCGATCGATACTCCGATATCATAAACTAACTCAACATTTACACAGCTTCGATCTCGGATATTTGTTTGCATTTGCAGTAGCCAGGCTTGCAAAAGTCTATTCACTATTGAGAAAACACAATAGATAAATTGAATAGACAGAAAATCTATCCTTATATATATATATACATATATATATATATATATATATATATATAAAGTATTAAAAAAACGCGTCATGTGACGTGTTTCTTCACTTCATAGGACAAACGTGACGTTTAGTTTACTGGGATTACACCTGTGCATAAATGACATAATGAGCTCAAATATTAATTTTTAATTATTACATGTCATATTAAATATGTGTTTGGGGGTATAAAATCGATCCGATTTCATTTTTAGCATGATTAACAGTTCCTGTATTTTTTCTGATTATACTTTTTTTAACGAAATGTGTATTGATTGGTTCACTTTTTACCACTTATCAACCCCTTGTAACTTATTTAAAACCCAAAAAATATTTTTAGATTGTAAGAACTTTTTGAGATAATAATGGTCTAGTGTTACAAGTCTTAATAATTAACACATAGCTGGGAGGGAAAAGAAATGGATTTACACCAATCCCAAAGGTATTTGCGCATAAGTCAATATACATTAAAACACGGCACTCCGATTAACAATTGCGAGCCTTTAACCATTACACAACGTGCGTATCTATGATTTGTTAGACGCTGGGATCCGAAGAAGGATTGTGATGGCCAAAAATGCATTCCAAAATCTGGGCAGAGTACTGCGAGACAGGAGACACAGAAAAAAAGTACTGTGCTGCTACGTGACATCTGTCCTCCTATGCGGCAGCGAATGTTGGAGGTCTCCTCAAAGATGAAGAAGAAACTCGAGGTAACGGGGATGTTGTCCTACAGAAGGATGCTAAGGATATCATGGCGAGGATGCAAACAAGGAGGAAGCTTATACTTAACATAAGGAAGAGGCAGCTAAGATTTCTGGGATATATAATGAGAAAGGCGTGCCTGGAGAATCTAATACTCAGAGGTCGAATAGAGAGACAAGGGGAAACAACGCATGACATACCTGGCGGGCTTAAACAAGTGGATGTGTGTGTGTGTGTGTCTTTGTGTGTGTGTGTCTTTGTGTGTGTGTGTGTGTGTGTGTCTTTGTGTGTGTGTGTATAAACGGGGAGAAATATAATCATAAACGTGGGTAATAATGAAACACCAAAGGGATACACTGAAGGGAAGCTAAATTTGTAATTTTAAAAATTTTAAATATACTACGCTGAGACAACAGATGATTTGGTAAGAAAGCTGACATGTTGTACGGACCTGGAAGCAAATTTACTATTATGAATTCTGACATTTTAATTTTGGCAGTTATAGAGGATTTTACAAGTATTAAAATATTACTGCAATGACGTTATGTGTCAAATATTAAGCGAACGCTTAAGTAGCGTGAAATAGGATTCGTGCCTATATTTTATTCGTATTTTATACTACTAGTTGAGTGGTATTCAGATGTAACAATTAGTAAACTAGAGAAAGAAGTTAATTATTCATAGTGAAAATACTGTATAGGAGTTTTCGAATAATTCAAATTGTTGTTGTTATTATTATTATTTGTATTCATTTTTCAAACCAGAACTAACTCGTGACTTTTAATCAGCAAATTTTCAGTGCTGAAGCACGCTACTCAGTTTTCCCGCTGATGTTAGCAAAACGGCCATCGGGATGGTTTCCGTTCATCATCGGATTCCTCACCCTTTTGGAAAAACTCTATTGCGCCTTTCCATATTGATAAGAATCACCGTAATTGCGTCACAATTGCTTCCTTTCTCACTTCAGCTCAAAATATTTTTTCAGCTCAATGTTTATTTCAATTTTCCTCGGCAGTCTGCTTGTTCTGCAACTATTCTACAAATTCGTCTGTTTAGAAATTATCTTCAGGTTTACGATTATACTTATTTCTGCCTCCCCCAGCAAAATTAATACCACAGCATAAATACTAATAAGTATTAGAAAATTGAAGCTTCTACCATTTACATATGCGCAATCGCCAAAAACAGGAAAATAACCGGCTTTAAAATAATAACAAAACAGCCTTAAAAAATTTCTAAATAATAACGATAGTCTTACACAATAATACCATAGTCTTACACAAAACCCCATCATACGTATATAAGTGTGTGCGAGAAAACATTATTCACCGAACAAAACAAAATAACGGTCTGTGCGTTGACAGCGCAACAGACACAAAAAATATTCGCTACACAATCCAACATAGAATACAGCGACCAAATGCGAACGTATGTACACAGCGACACATGGATGCACATATAGTGATTTTCCAAGTGTAGCTTAGATATGGCACAAGGCTGAAAGTATGGGGCACCCAGTATGGATCGAACTCACTATTCAGTCGTAATTGTTCTAGCGAGACAATCTTGCTAACCATTACACCGTCTCGAGGTGCCCAATGGATGCGCATATATGCCCATTCCCACACATATGTTTATGTTTGTGTGAGCTCGAGTGAGTGAACGTGCGTGTGTGTGTGTCTGCGTACGTCAATGAGTATACGTGCGTGTATGTATGTTTGCGTACGTATGAGGGGCGTTCCGACGACAATTTTCCCCCCCACTTCCATAAAAACACCGATATACGCAACCATATATAAATCCAAAATTTAAAAAAAAAATTAATCATTTTGTCTGACGATCGCAAATAGCGTGAAACCCAGGGTCACAAACTCACATCAATCCAACTAAATATATTAGCTCTATCACTGATATTAAGCGCTTTCTAATAAGTACCGCGCATATATAATATATAAATAATATATATAAAATAATTGCAACACATACACAATCAGATTATAATACATAAACACGCAGACGTATTTAGATATATAAACACGCAAAAAAGCGACAAGACAGGAAATATCTCCAAGATCCTTAAAAAAAACAAAAAAAAAAACGACAATATACTTATACATTGAAAGGTAACAAGTAAGTAACCATACACACAGACTTCGCTTTTTTGCGTGTTCATATATCTGAATACGTCTAAATCAGACCCACTATCCATTACTCAATATTAAATAGACTGATCCACTCGTAAAAAATATGGGAAAAAATCATTTTTCAGATTAGCACTTTGTAGATCAACATTTTGTAGATTAGCATTCTTTTGATCTCCCTTAAGCCACGACACTTGTCAGAATCGAAAAATATTAACATTATTTTTAACATGTCAGATGCGACGGCGGATCGTGTTCATAATATCGATCCAGTGTCAAATCGATCGGTGACACTTTACAGGCTTACGGCCATATCAGGTTGAAATACAAGTTTTCGTACAATCACCGAAGTTAAGGCATCGTCGAGCCAAGTCAGTACATTGACTGATTAAGAAATACCAGGTGCTGCAAGCTTGGATGTGAGGGACAAATTCCTTTTCCAGTTATGCTCGTTATATTCACTTAGGCCTAAATACCTTCTTTTCTCCCCCAGCTATGGGTTAATCAGTAGGAAATGTATGAGTAAATCATTATTATCTCCCCCGAAATTCTTAAAATCTAAAAATATTTTTGGACTTTAAATAGCCTAAAACTGTTAACAAGCCATAAAAAACAAATCAATCAATCAATTTTTATTTTTTTATGACATAGGCAGGATTGGTTGGTTGTTTTTGTCTTGCGTCATATAAACATGTATGGGTTATCTAATATCGAAATCTAAATATTCTGTACGCAATTTTATTTATTTTTTGGAGATAATAATGTTTTAGTGATAGTCGGCTTACTAAAGCCCTTAGTTGAGGAAGAGAGAAAAGAAAATTCATACCATTCCCAAGGCTATTTGCGCGTAAGTAACTATAACGAACCCGACTGGAATTAGAACTCGGTTATCCGATTAACAATTTCGAGCCATTTCATTACACCAGCACATCCAAGCTTACAGCACCTGGTATTCCCAAGCAGTCACCCATCAAAGAACTGACCAGCGTTGACATTGCTTAACTTCGGTGATCGTAAGGGAAGCTGAGTATAGACATGTCCACTCGTAAAACATAAGTAATATTTTTCGGTGAATAATTTTCATTTGGTCTTCTGAATGTCATGCCTATTGTCAGAACAATAAAAAAAAATATTGATTTCCCATCGATTTACAAGGTGTATCCTGTCCTTAATATAAATACAATCTAAAATTGATTCCTGACTTTTACAGAATTATTGGAACCAGCTGTTATTTACAAGTGTCATGTCTGAAGTTGTGTTCACCTCATTGATATCAGCATTTTTTTTTTATTTTAAATTTGGTGAATTGTTTAAGCATTTTAAGCTTTTTTTTCTTGGTGGGGGGAATTTTTCGAAAGTACTTACACAAACATTTTCTGATAATTATTATTTATCTTAAAGAATAAACGGATAAAAATTTTTATTAGTTTATCCTCTGTTCTTCTACATAAATAAAGCGCAGTGTACGTGTGTCCGTCCGTCCGTCCGTTTTTTGATCTCGTCGAATCATAAACAACCTGAATTATGTAGTAGTAACTACTGTTGTTACATGCGATTAAAAATTAAATAAATAATTCATTTAAAGGTACATTTAAATATCGAACAGAGTGAAATTTAAAAAAAAAAATTCTTTATTAAAGGTTTACATTTAATTTCATTTTTCTTTGCAATTGTAATTGATATCGTCTAATTAAACCGTAATTAAAAGTTTTGCAGGGCACGGTACATATGCTTTTTCTTTTTTGTTTTTCTAGCACGCGTGCTGTGATGTATTCGAAACTTTACATAGTTCGCGTTCCCTAATGTCTTTTAAGAGTGACTTTATGTGAAAAGACCACAAAGAATAGTGATTTTAAGAGAAAATAAAATTTGCGCAGAAAATAAATGTAAAAACCTATGGAGATTGGTTTCGTATACGAAGAAAGATTATGGAGAATTAATGTGGAGAATAAAGACAAAATAATTTAATTATTTTTAAAGTATTATATCTTTTACGTGCATAGGTGCTGAAGGAGGTAAAGTCCGCCCGAAGGCTGGCTAATAGGCTAATGAACAAAAAAAAAAAAAAAATGTATAGGTCTATTTGTTCTTTTATTCAAAAGAAATCTTTTCGTACGCAGAATAATTAAATCTGGGTAACTTTTTAAAAAATCAACGATCCGTTTGATATTCTATTGATATTATGATGCTTTGTTATGCGTATTTTAGGTGTGGCACAAGGCCAAAAAGTATGGGGCACCAGGTGAAGATTGAACTCACTACGCAGTAGCAACTATTCTAGCGAGACAATCTTGCTAAATATTACATCACATCAAGATGCCTTTCAGTCGATATTATGTACAGGAACCTTAAAAATGATAAAAAAATCTATATTTTTCTATTCTAACAAGTGTTGCGGCATCAGAATGGATTAAAAATGCTAATCTGCAAAAATTATTTTTTAAAAAATTCCCTATTTTTTACGAGCAGACAAGCCTATTTAAGTCGTGCCCAACTTGGCAATATGAAAAAACTAAAAAAAAAAAAACTGCCAAAAATATGTCACCTATAACTCGCTGGAAGCTGACGCTTTCAAACACCATGATAGAACTACGCCATTCTTTCTAATTACTAGAAATATTATTTTTAGTGGGTATATGTGTTTGAGTTGATATCTAAAATGGCTCATTCAGAGATGTACATTTCTTTGAAAAGGTAATAGTGCTTTGCTTTATCAAAATGGTCTCCCGTGGTCAAATTGGTAACGGCACCCTTCAGGTACAGGTGTGGTTTGTCCTGAAGGAAAAAAAAAAGTGGGGATACATTTTCGGTTTCTTTTTTAGTAATACTTCACGATCTAGGCCTGTGGTTATTAGAGTTCACTGCTTAAGAAAATAAAAACAGGTTTCACAATTCAAACATGGCTACCCATTAAAAATAACGTTCACTGTAATTAGAAATAATGTCTGATTGGAAAATAATTCGTTTAAAAATTACATACCTAATAACATACTAAGGATTGGCTTTTAAAACAGCTAGTTAAAATGTTTAATTACATAGCGAGTAAGCAACGAATAAGTCTTAAGAGAAATGCAAATAAAAAGGACTATTAAACTCAGAATCAGAAAGCGATATGAAAGCATATAATGAAGAAAACGGCTTGGAGAATTTGACACACGCAGGTCGATCCAGTTTGAACCTCTACGGGGATATATATATATATATATATATATATATATATATATATATATATATATATAGAGAGAGAGAGAGAGAGAGGAGATATGAAAGCATATAATGAAGAAAAGAGGGCTTGGAGAATTTGACACACGCAAGACATATCAAAGGAAATACATGCACCAACGTTAACTGGGTCCGAGTGTAAATCCCGCTGGATCGAGGGCGGTGGTTTCCCCTACAAAGACCGATCTAGTTTGAACCCCTACCGGGGATATATATATATATATATATATATATATATATATATATATATAGAGAGAGAGAGAGAGAGAGAGATAGGGGAGATACGCACATGCATAGAGAAACAGACAGACAAATTGAGAAAGTGAGAGTGAGAGGGAAAAGGCAAAGGAGGTATATATCAAAAGTATAGGGAGATACCTAAAGCAATTCTTAGTACAGAAAAGACAGTACAGCGGAAGATAAGGTGAGACAAAGACAGAGGGAAAGAGACAGAAAACAGACAGACAAATCTATAGAGCGAGAAAGTAGAGAGACATAGAGAGAGTACTAATTATGGAAAGCTATTTCGAAGTATTAAGAAATAGGAGAGTGACCATCGTTCCAGTAAATTGTCGACTTCAAAATAATTACAGTTCAGTTCCAAATCTCTCGAGGGCACGCTTGAAAAGACTGGAATTTCGGAAAATATGTAAATCTGCGATTTAAAAAAAAAAAAACCACAAAAAAAAAAAAAACGAAATACATAGCCTAAAAGAAACCGCAGCCATACAAAATTTAATCAATGAAGATTTTACAACCAGAAAACATTGTAGTACATTATATTACAAGCAGTAAAATGACTTCTGACGAAACTATCTAAACATGGCTGCTCAAAGGACATTTGAAAAGCTAAACGAATATAATAAAACGCAATAATAATGTAATAAAACAGTCACGAAAACCACTTGTTTGAGAGTAACAATATATTAAGATATTTTATTATCAAAAGACGATCTTTCACATTTCATCTCGCCTACGGAAATCTTTAGTAAAAGGCCAAAGATTTATGCGCAGTGAATGACCGGTTTTGCCGAAATTTGTTAAGACTTTCTTTTGGTTCAGAGGTTTCGCTATGTATGAGATATTACTTGTAGAGAAAAAAAATAGTAGTTAAACAGAGAACGAATTTTTCTTTGTCAGTCATAAAATGAAATCCTAGGGCACCTCAATGTGGTGATACCAATTTTGTTACCAAGTTTGTCTCGCTCGATAAATTACGACTGAGTAGTGATTCCGATCATCACTGGGAGATACACATTTTCCGCCTTTGCCACATCTGAGCCAGGCTTAGAAAAGCATTGGTCGCCTCTACATGGTGTAATGGTTAGCAAGCTTGTCTCGTTAGAACAATTACAACTGAGTAGTGAGGGCGATCCTCACTGGGTTGCCCATACTTTCACTCGTGCCACATCTAAGCCACGTTTAGAAAATCACCATATTGGGCACTTCAACATGATTTAATGTCTCACTAGATCAATTACGACTGAAAAGTGAGTTCAGTCCTCACTGGGTGCCCCATACTTTCAGTCCTGTGTCACATCTAAGCTACGTTTAGAAAATCACAATATTGGGCACTTCAACATGATTTAATGTCTCACTAGATCAATTACGACTGAAAAGTGAGTTCAGTCCTCACTGGGTGCCCCATACTTTCAGTCCTGTGTCACATCTAAGCCACGTTTAGAAAATCACCATATTGGGCACTTCAACGTGATTTAATGTCTCACTAGATCAATTACGACTGAAAAGTGAGTTCAGTCCTCACTGGGTGCCCCATACTTTCAGTCCTGTGTCACATCTAAGCTACGTTTAGAAAATCACCATATTGGGCACTTCAACATGATTTAATGTCTCACTAGATCAATTACGACTGAAAAGTGAGTTCAGTCCTCACTGGGTGCCCCATACTTTCAGTCCTGTGCTACATCTAAGCTACGTTTAGAAAATCACCATATTGGGCACTTCAACGTGATTTAATGTCTCACTAGATCAATTACGACTGAAAAGTGAGTTCAGTCCTCACTGGGTGCCCCATACTTTCAGTCCTGTGTCACATCTAAGCTACGTTTAGAAAATCACAATATTGGGCACTTCAACGTGATTTAATGTCTCACTAGATCAATTACGACTGGAAAGTGAGTTCAGTCCTCACTGGGTGCCCCATACTCTCAGTCCTGTGCTACATCTAAGCTACGTTTGAAAATCACCATATTGGGCACTTCAACGTGATTTAATGTCTCACTAGATCAATTACGACTGAAAAGTGAGTTCAGTCCTCACTGGGTGCCCCATACTTTCAGTCCTGTGTCACATCTAAGCTACGTTTAGAAAATCACCATATTGGGCACTTCAACGTGATTTAATGTCTCACTAGATCAATTACGACTGAAAAGTGAGTTCAGTCCTCACTGGGTGCCCCTGTACTTTCTGTCCTGTGCTACATCTAAGCTACGTTTAGAAAATCACCATATTGGGCACTTCAACGTGATTTAATGTCTCACTAGATCAATTACGACTGAAAAGTGAGTTCAGTCCTCAATGGGTGCCCCATACTTTCAGTCCTGTGTCACATCTAAGCTACGTTTAGAAAATCACAATATTGGGCACTTCAACGTGATTTAATGTCTCACTAGATCAATTACGACTGAAAAGTGAGTTCAGTCCTCACTGGGTGCCCCATACTTCTCAGTCCTAAGCTACGTTTGAAAATCACCATATTGGGCACTTCAACGTGATTTAATGTCTCACTAGATCAATTACGACTGAAAAAGTTCAGTCCTCACTATTCAGGTGTCACATCTAACGTTTG